CCTAACTCAGCACCAAGAAACCCTCCACCTCCACTCCCCCCTCGTCCACCACCCAACTCAGCCTGCCCCTCCCCTAACCCATCACCAAAAACCCATCCACCTTCAACCCCCCCCCGTCCAACTCCCAAGAACCACCTGCCTCTCCATCCTCCTCCCCCGCCTTCCCCTTCCCCTCTTTTCTCTAAACACTAGGATGCACAGGGTCTCTGCTTCGCAGCCACTGGCAGTCTAGTTAGAGGAGAGACCCGGCTGGGGCCCTGTCATGAAGCCACCTGTGCCATTCCCTTAGTGATAACACAAAGAATACATTACAGAAAAACATCTGGAGTTAATCAGTCTAATCAGGAAAATCTAATTCTTGTTTTGTGTAAGAATCAGCCGACCACAACTGCTGATCCTGAAACTTTGAAACTTGCTACGCTTAATGTCAGATCTCTTTGTAACAAGTCTTTTTTAATCAATAATTTTATTTGTTCTCATAATCTTGATCTTATGTTCATGGCTGAAACATGGCTTGACCAAAATACAGAAAATACAGTTTTAATAGAAGCATCACCACCAAATTTCAAATTTGAATCTGAAATACGGGAAAACAAAAAAGGAGGAGGCTTAGCTGCCATTTTCAGAGACCACTTTGTCTCCCATAGAATGTCTCTTGGGAAGTTTCCGTCTTTTGAATATGTGTCTCTTAAAATACAACAAAAACAATCTCCTCCAATACTTTTTGTTGTCCTATACAAGCCACCGCAGTCATGTCACAGTTTTATTGATAATTTTACAGAGTTGCTTTCAGTTGTATGCACAGATTTTGATAGTTTAGTTATTACAGGTGATTTTAATATTCATGTGGATAATGTTGATGACAGAAATGCTAAAGAGCTGAGTTCTGTTCTTGAATCTTTTGGTCTCACTCAGCATGTGAGTGGCCCCACCCACAGCAGAGGGCACACTCTAGACCTGTTAGTTACAAAGGGGGTGAACATTTCTAATGTAAACGTGGTCGATGTTGCGCTTTCGGATCATTTTTGTATATTTTTTGACATGTGTTTCACTAACAAACCACCAGTGGACTCTGCAACTGTACGAAGAAGACACATAAATGAAAATACGGGTGAACTATTTATGGGAATGATAAACTTTGTGAATGCATCGTATTCTACTGTAGATGAACTGTTTAACTCTGTCACCTCTAGTGTTTTGAAAGTTCTGGACACCATCGCCCCTGTGAAGGTTAAAATAGTGAAAAATAAGCAGAAGGCGCCGTGGGCTAAAGCAGACTCGGTCAGGGCATAAAAGAGAGAGTGCCGGAGGGCCGAGCGGAAGTGGCGCAAGTCCAACCTCCAGGTTGATTACAAGATCTTCAAAGATAAGTTGTGCGAGTTTAACCAGGTGCTACGTAGTACGAGAGAAAGGTATTTTTCTGAAATGATTGAAGGCTGCAGCAACAATCTGCGTGTTCTGTTTTCAACAGTTAATAGATTAACAAACCCCCCTGTTCAAATGCCATTAGAGCTAACTTCCAAACGTAAATGTAATGAGTTTGCACATTTTTTCAATGACAAGGTTCAAGGCATCAAAAACGCCATTGTCTCCAATCCACAGATAACAATCCAACAGCCAGAAAGGCTCTTTGAGATAACTTACTTTGCACCTGTAAATGATAAAACTGTCCAAGAGATAATCTCCAGTTTGAGCTCCTCCACATGCAGCCTGGATGTACTACCCACTAGATTTCTAAAGTCTGTTCTGAGCAGTCTGTTACCTTCACTCACACAGATAGTAAACATGTCCCTTAATTCTGGAATATTCCCAAGGGCCCTGAAAACTGCAGTCATCAGGCCCCTGCTAAAAAAGAGCAGTCTGGATGCTACGGTACTTAACAACTATCGTCCCATCTCAAATCTGCCATTTATGGGGAAAGTCCTTGAAAAAGTTGTCTACCAACAGCTAAATAGATTTCTTATAATCAACAACTCATTTGATATGTTTCAGTCCGGCTTTAGACCCCACCACAGCACTGAGACTGCTCTCGTCAAGGTTACAAATGATATCCGGCTGAACACTGACGCAGGCATAGTCTCAATCCTAATCCTGTTAGATCTGAGTGCTGCCTTTGACACTGTCGACCATGAGATCCTCTTACAGAGACTAGAGGACTGGGTTGGAGTCGCTGGCACCGCCCTAAGTTGGTTTAGGTCTTACCTTGAAGACAGGAAGTACTTTGTGGAGATTGGAAACTGTGTCTCAGATCATATGGCCCTGACCTGTGGAGTCCCACAGGGGTCGATCCTGGGACCTCTTCTGTTCAATCTCTACATGCTGCCGTTAGGTCAGTTAATACGCAGAAACAAAGTGTCCTATCACAACTATGCAGACGACACTCAGATCTATGTCTCACTGACTGCAGGAGAACATGGACCAGTGGACTCACTCCTTCACTGTATCCAACAGATCAGTGAGTGGATGCAAAACAACTTCCTTCAGCTAAACGCAGACAAAACTGAAATGATTGTCTTTGGTCCCCAGAAACAAAGAGAGAGCGTCATCTGTCATCTACAGTCTCTCTCCCTAAAACCTTCAAACAAGGTCAGAAATCTAGGGGTAATACTGGACTCAGACTTAAATTTTAATAGCCACATCAAATCAGTAAAATCAGCAGCTTTTTACCATCTAAAAAACATTGCCAGGATCAAAAACATAGTGTCTAAAGCAGACTTGGAGATTCTTATCCATGCATTTGTCTCCAGTAGGTTAGACTACAGCAATGGCCTGCTCACAGGTCTGTCCAAACAGGCTGTAAAACAGCTGCAGTACATTCAAAATGCAGCAGCTCGAGTCCTGACTAGAACCAGGAAGTACGACCACATTAGTCCAGTCCTCAGGTCCCTGCACTGGCTTCCTGTGGCTCAGAGAATAGACTTTAAAACAGCTCTGCTTGTTACAAGTCTCTCCATGGCCTCGCACCAAAATATATTAGTGACATGTTAGTCCCATATGAACCAGCCCGGACTCTGAGAAGCACAGGGACTGGACTCCTGCTGGGACTCTGAGGAGCACAGGGACTGGACTCCTGTTAGTGCCCAGAGTCAGAACTAAACATGGGGAGGCTGCTTTTCAGATTCATGCTGCTAAAATCTGGAACAATCTTCCTGAAGATGTGAGACAGGCCTCCTCTCTGACAATGTTTAAAACCAGGTTAAAAACGGTGCTGTTTAGCTGTGCATACAACTGAGGGATTTTATATTTTTATCTTTCGTTTTAATGTTCTGTGATTATTTATGATTTTAATGCTATCTTGTTCAGCACTTTGAGTTGCCTTGTGTATGAATTGTGCTATACAAATAAACTTGCCTTGCCTTGCCTAGGCGCCAGAGTTTTTTCAAGAAAATATACAATTTTGATTTCAAGATTTCAAAAGGTTATAACTTTAAAATGGTTTGAGATAAAGGCATACTGTAAATTAGAAATATCTTCAGTTTGAACCAAACTTTGGGATGGAAGTTGATTCGTCATCTAATTTGCATATTGTGACGTCATCAAGGTGGCGGCCATTTTGGAAAATGTTAATTATTGTATAAAGACTTCAAAAAGCTGTAGCTTGGGAGTTATTTGAGATCGGTGAATACTATAAACAGTCAATGTGAAATACCTTTAGTATGAAACGAATTTGGGATAGAAATAAATTCCCTGATCCAGATTATAGATAATGTTTTAGCACTGGTTCGCAGCCTCTGGAATTGTATTATTTTCAAAGACCTTCAGTGATCAAGACTGCACTCTTTATAGTTTACAATAAAAAAAAACGGAGATTGGTTTCAATATTTCCCTTTCAAAGAAGTAATGGGCTTACTATTTTTCTCAGTGGAAATGAGGCTTCAGAATGTATTGTTTAGAAACAGAGAAGAATGGGCTCAGAACTTGTCAGATCGTCTCAACAAGAAACAACAGGCTCTTCAACACTTCTGATCCACTTTTGTGGATTATTTTCTCTCAAGAACTGGCTTGATCCTCATCATCGCTGTCGGTAAAGGCAGTGAACGCGATTAGCGATGGTTTTTTTCCCGCGGCTCCCCCGCGACTTTTCCCGCGTCTCCCGTGTTCCCCGTGGATGTCTACCCCCGCTACTTTCTCCCACATGCCCGGTGTTATGATGCCCCTGTCCCCTCGACCCCGGCCCCTGCTTGGCGTTCACAGAATGCTTCTACCGCGGCCACACGGAGGACAAGCAGCCGCTGTACAGGGGCTGACTGTGGACTATATGGCGCGGTCTCCCCGTCACCAATAATGTCCGTGTCTGCTTCACTGGACACCTGCGTGTCTTCCTCCTCTGAATCTGAGTGAGCCAGTACCAAACCAAGTACTTCTCTGGTACTGAAGACCCCGTGAGTAAAATAAAAAACCCTCTCTCCCTGCTGCAAAGCAGCAGCGGTAGCAAGCTCTACCGCTGCTGCTTCGCCTCCGCGCTGCAGCGCCGCAGGTGTTTTACAAACTCAATTTACTCAAAAACTTTCAATATAACCACACCCACAAATGCTGCTCATATTACAGGCACACATGTCCACTGCTCCTGTGGACTCACCACCTGCAGGAGGATCAGTGAGGGGCTGGTGCTCTGTGTACTGGTGTAGCTCTGACTTCCACCCCCCCGACCCAGAAATGGATTAAGGGGAAGAAGAAGATGGACATGTCCACTAACCCCTGGTGAAAAGTATTAACAAGATTCTGCACCACATTTTTACATACAGCCTGTTTAAGTGAACAATGTTGCTTGTCGCAATATTGCGACTTTGGCGCTTAAAGGGTTAAGTGTCTTGCCCAAGGACACAACGACAGCAGACAGAGGGAGTCGATAGTGAAAGTCGGGCTCGAACCCACGACCCTCTGGCTCAAAGGCCGATGCTTTACCAACTGAGCTACTGTCGCCCTAAAACCACAATACAGTATTTAGTCACTCCCATTTACAAATATGAAAGAGGCCTGTCATTTACATCAGTTAAACTTCAACTATGAGAGACCAACCCTTCACCCACCCCCACCAACCCTTCACCCACACCCACCAACCCTTCACCCACACCCACCAACCATTCACCCACACCCACCAACCCTTCACCCACACCCCACCAACCCTTCACCCACACCCACCAACCCTTCACCCACACCCACCAACCATTCACCCACACCCACCAACCCTTCACCCACCCCACCAACCATTCACCCACACCCACCAACCCTTCACCCACACCCCACCAACCCTTCACCCACCCCCACCACCCTTCACCCACACCCACCAACCATTCACCCACCCCCACCAACCCTTCACCCACACCCACCAACCATTCACCCACCCCCACCAACCATTCACCCACCAACCCTTCACCCACCCCCACCAACCCTTCACCCACACCCACCAACCCTTCACCCACCCCCACCAACCATTCACCCACACCCACCAACCCTTCACCCACACCCACCAACCCTTCACCCACACCCACCAACCCTTCACCCACACCCACCAACCATTCACCCACACCCACCAACCCTTCACCCACACCCCACCAACCCCTTCACCCACACCCACCAACCCTTCACCCACACCCACCAACCATTCACCCACACCCACCAACCCTTCACCCACACCCACCAACCATTCACCCACACCCACCAACCCTTCACCCACACCCCACCAACCCTTCACCCACCCCCACCAACCCTTCACCCACACCCACCAACCATTCACCCACCCCCACCAACCCTTCACCCACACCCACCAACCATTCACCCACCCCCACCAACCATTCACCCACCAACCCTTCACCCACCCCCACCAACCCTTCACCCACACCCACCAACCCTTCACCCACCCCCACCAACCCTTCACCCACACCCACCAACCCTTCACCCACCCCCACCAACCATTCACCCACCAACCCTTCACCCACCCCCACCAACCATTCACCCACACCCACCAACCCTTCACCCACCCCCACCAACCATTCACCCACACCCACCAACCCTTCACCCACCCCCACCAACCCTTCACCCACCCCCACCAACCCTTCACCCACCCCCACCAACCCTTCACCCACCCCCACCAACCCTTCACCCACCCCCACCAACCCTTCACCCACCCCCACCAACCCTTCACCCACCCCCACCAACCATTCACCCACCAACCCTTCACCCACACCCACCAACCATTCACCCACCCCCACCAACCATTCACCCACCAACCCTTCACCCACACCCACCAACCATTCACCCACCAACCCTTCACCCACCCCCACCAACCCTTCACCCACCCCCACCAACCCTTCACCCACACACCATTCACCCACCCCCACCAACCATTCACCCACCAACCCTTCACCCACCCCCACCAACCCTTCACCCACACCCACCAACCATTCACCCACCCCCACCAACCATTCACCCACCAACCCTTCACCCACCCCCACCAACCCTTCACCCACACCCACCAACCCTTCACCCACCCCCACCAACCCTTCACCCACACCCACCAACCCTTCACCCACCCCCACCAACCATTCACCCACCAACCCTTCACCCACCCCCACCAACCATTCACCCACACCCACCAACCCTTCACCCACCCCCACCAACCCTTCACCCACCCCCACCAACCATTCACCCACACCCACCAACCCTTCACCCACCCCCACCAACCCTTCACCCACCCCCACCAACCCTTCACCCACCCCCACCAACCCTTCACCCACCCCCACCAACCCTTCACCCACCCCCACCAACCATTCACCCACCAACCCTTCACCCACACCCACCAACCCTTCACCCACACCCACCAACCATTCACCCACCCCCACCAACCATTCACCCACCAACCCTTCACCCACACCCACCAACCATTCACCCACCAACCCTTCACCCACCCCCACCAACCCTTCACCCACACCCACCAACCATTCACCCACCCCCACCAACCATTCACCCACCAACCCTTCACCCACCCCCACCAACCCTTCACCCACACCCACCAACCATTCACCCACCCCCACCAACCATTCACCCACCAACCCTTCACCCACACCCACCAACCCTTCACCCACACCCACCAACCCTTCACCCACACCCACCAACCATTCACCCACCCCCACCAACCATTCACCCACCAACCCTTCACCCACACCCACCAACCATTCACCCACCAACCCTTCACCCACCCCCACCAACCCTTCACCCACCCCCACCAACCCTTCACCCACACCCACCAACCCTTCACCCACACCCACCAACCCTTCACCCACCAACCCTTCACCCACACCCACCAACCATTCACCCACCCCCACCAACCATTCACCCACCAACCCTTCACCCACCCCCACCAACCCTTCACCCACCCCCACCAACCATTCACCCACCAACCCTTCACCCACACCCACCAACCATTCACCCACACCCACCAACCATTCACAAAAAAATTCAGTTTTTCTCTAACGTCTCTGTTTGTTCAGTCTTCACGGTCATCGATTCACAAACACTTTCTCCTGGGTTTTATCAGAGCCATTGTAGCATAACGTAATTTAGTCGCAACCAAAAAGGTGACAGCTCCAAGCACATCTGGCTATTGCTCCACTTGTCTTTGTTTATTCTCGAGGCTTTCTGTCGACTCTGGGCTTAAATCCTGCATTAGCCGCAGACCTTCACTTTGATTCTAACCTTAATTAGCATTCACACAAACAGGCAAATTGTTTGTTATGACATTCTAACACCGCACATAATCAGTGAATTTACGTTTTAATGAAATGGCAGAGTCAGAACGCAAAGGGTCAAGGAGAGATCAACAGTGTGGTAAAAATATGCTTTAAAAACGTGATTTTTAAAACTATACACAACTGCTATGAGTAGAACAGGTGTTTAATGCCAAAGGTTGCATTATATTTATTTCTTGTGAATCTACAGATGGCTAATGTTTAGTTAAGATGGCCTCAAATCATCACCACACAGAGATCAATGCGTTTCCATGGAGATTTAAAGAACACACAATATGCTACGCTAAGTACTTTCTTCTATCTTTTAACTATGCTAACGATTGATGTTCCCTCATTAGAAATGGACCTGGATCTGTTTTAGCTCCGTCCGTGCTAATACGAGCTAAACGCACCTATTTGAACTGGACTATTTAATGTGATCTTACATTTCACTGTCGAATTTACCTGCGTGCTTTTGACCGTTTTCGCCGGTTAAAAGCAATATACAGCAACTTTTATGGCTTAAGCTACACAAGATCTGTCCAGTCTATCTGAAAGGTTTGCATGATCAGCAAGAGAAAGGACGATTCGACCTCCACAGGGAATCTGAGTGGAGTTTGCATGTTCTCTCTCTGTCTGCTCCGCTGTTGCAATTGATAGGCCCCAGAAGCATTGGACAGATGGGTCAGAGGGAAGGGGGACTAAATCTCCCTTTGGGGAAATAAAACGTATAATTTAAGTAACTTTGGGTCATTAAGGCAAACCCAAGACAATAATACACACATTCTATTAAAGGTTTCACTATAAATCTCTATAAAAACTAATAGTATAAACAGGGGTGCACATGGGGGCGACAGTTGCTCAGTTGGTAGAGTATTGGCCTTAGAGCCTGAAGGTCGTGGGTTCGAGCCCACCACAAGACCTACTTCATGATTCCCACTGATGACTGCTGTCGTTGTGTCCTTGGACAAGACACTTAACCCCACTTTACCTGAAGCCCCTGCTGAATAATCAAGGCTCCTGTGGACTCAGCGCCTGCAGGAGGATCAGTGAGGGGCTGGTGCTCTGAGTACTAGGTGCAGCTCTGACTGCCACCCCCCGACCCAGAAATGGATTAAGGGGAAGATAGTGGATGGATGGATGGGTGCACACAACTTTTTTAGTGAGGTTCTCAGATGAGTACCAGGAGATGGTGTTTGGTACTCACCCCATTTGTCTCGTGGTTCTTAATCGAGATTTTATACTTGCTTCTTTTTAATGCTAAAGTTTAGATCAGCTCAGATAGTCCACTCAATATAAGTCAAATAATGACTCACTGGGCTCTTTCTTAAAAATACAACAAATAAATAAAAACAATGTTCTGTTTGCTTTGTATTTTACTTTTGGGCACAACCAAACTTATTATGCATTATTAATGCACGGGAAAATGTAGGTACCACAGCTTTAATGTACACTGTAATAAGTGAATCAGACCAAACTTTGATGTAAAATATTTTAAGTAATTACTATATACTTCATTTTCAACTATTCTATATTTTTGGTTAACAAATAAGTACTGTATAATATTATCATAGCGCCCTGTACAATACTGATTTTATTGCTTTAAGTAAAAATACTTTAAATATTTCTTCTATAAGCCTGGTGGGCCATTAATGACAAAACAAATATATTGTGTTGATTGAAAACAAAATGTGGCGAAGCAGTGACGCTACCCAGAATGCATTGCAGAGCAAAATATAAACTTCTTAAAAATTCTACATTTGACGATTTATTTTAAGAATGATTATGAAGCAAGTCCTAAAGCAAAATACTTGAGCAACATTTTGAATAAACTAAGTTGATCAAATAAGTAATTGTATTTATTTTTACCAAACGTGATCGACAGCGTCAGGCCAAACTCTGTACTCCCTGGGTTCAGATCAGATATAACATGGTCATGATGCTTGATTAAAAACAAGTCCTAAACGGGATCCAAGCACATTAACTCCCCAGCATGAGAGTTACAGAGTTCAAAAGCACAATGTAAGGATTACAAAAACTAACAAACTTTCTCCAGGTGGAAGAAAGTTTCATTTTGAATGAACACAAAAATATTGTAATATAAAATATATATTGATCATCTCCAAGTTAGTTTTTCTTTGAAAGGACACACACATTTTAAGTAAATCCATCACTTCAAAGTAATAGTTTTGCTTTCTGTCAAATTTAATTTAATATTCTTTATTACTTAATAAAGAGCTAAAGTTGATAGTACTCAAAAAGGCCGATAAAACCTCTTACAGAATTTTTTTTGTTTCTGATTAAAGGACATGGACACTCCCTTAAGGCTCCAGAGTCCAGCTCTGTTTCTTGCAGTAACGCAATATCTATTTATTTATTTAGTGTTACGCAAAGACACACACTTGCAACTTGTTGCAGGACCAGAGAATGTTCCTGGGTACATTATGACCACGTTCGGCTTCGTGCTCGCCGCGTTGTTGTCAAGGAACCGCTGTCATTAGAAAAGTGGCTGGAGCGGCTCTGGAGTCGCTGCTGCCACGGAGGATTTGGAATCCCGGCTTTGCACCACGCCCCCCGAGGGAGGAGCGACCCACTATTTGAGAAGGACTGGTCTATGTTTAGTACGCAAAGGCGCTTACTAACTCAAGTGATAGTACGCATTTATGATATTTGTCGCACACCTGAGTACCACTAATTGTATGTGCACCTCTGATAATAAAGTTAAGATAATAATCGCTGCTTGTGTGGATTTGCCTTTTTGCAATTGATTTAATTTAATAATTAAAATTAATTTGTGAACCAAAAGCCCAAACAATTGTACTTTTTTATCGAGACTGCTGTAAAAGCTTTGGAATGATCGAACGGTATTGATCATTCATAACTGCAGGAACGTCCTTGTTTGTATTTCTGCTTCAAACACAACTATTAGTTCTTTTTAGCAGGATTCTGATCCACCTTTGCCTGAAGCCAAAACAACTGAAATTTGGTGCAGATGTTGCTTCTGGCTTTTTGCATCAAATTTTGGCCTTTTGTTTTCTAGTTTGTCTCAGAGCTAATAACAAACATGGAGGTGTTTTTGAACGCTTGTGCTACTGACCTAAATATTGTATTGCCATGTTTCTTCCGTAGCCATAGGCGTCTCATTAAACCGATGCAAAGTCTTTGACAACCTGCTCACCGTTTCCAAGTGAATCCTGCAGAGTTGTGTTTTCTTTGGTGTCGCAATCCTGCTTTTGTGTACGTTGCCGTGTCACGCCAGGTTCCGCGTCGTGATAAGCTCGTTTGCGGCTCTCCATTCATGCAAATCCCAAAATCACTCTAGTGGAAAATTCTTTTATCTGCTGCAGGAGTAGTGCTGCTGTGGCTGCTGTGGCGCGGCGGCGGAGGGTAAGCTGTTTTTTGGCTTGTTTTTCGTGGTCTATTTCCTCAGGGCTCCAAACAAAAAGCTAATTAGTCCAAAGCCTCGGTAAACATAACAAAAAAAAGGAAAAAAGTGGTGTTATTGGGGGTTAGGTACTACTGGGTCACACCTGGTTAGAGCAGGGAAGTATTTCAGCATTTTTAGATTAGACAGGATTCAGGAATTAGCAGAACATGTGTGAGATTCAAGATCAATAATAAGCCACAGTACAAGAAATAATGTCTGTAATCTCGCCTCAAACTGATTTGACGTAGAGCCCACTCAGAACCAGGACCGGGAAAAGGCTAATTTGATTATTACATTAAAGTGATAGTCTGGAACTTCAAATGAATTACACAGTTAAAGAATTGTGTTGAATTGACCTCCTGGCGTTAAATATTGATATATAATGAGTTACTTTATGAATTCCCTTCTCTTAGCTATAGCTCAGAATCCACGATGCCGTCCACGTTAACCAATCACGTGATGCCAAGGGCTGTCAATCATCGGCGCTGATGCCCGTAGCTGCTCATGCTCAGTCCGAATCAAGCCTCCATTAAACTCTGAACCTATATCCATAATCATTTATATACTGAACCTATATCCATAATCATTTATATACTGAACCTATATCCATAATCAGATCCTCTGCAGATGTGTCCTATAATGTTCAATTCCTGATAATAACTACTTCTGGGTTTACCGCAATCGTTTTTTTCGTGCATTAAAACATTATTTTGTCATGAAAACGTTCACAAATAATTCTGAAAACCTCTGTGCATGTGTATTAATAATGTATATGTATAATGTGTTCTATGTGTTACGGAAACGTAGGCGTAGACCAATCAGAAAGGAAGGGGGCGGAGCTTGGGTCGTTTTTATCAAATCCTGTACCTCTCTCTCTCTTTTTTCTGACAAACGCCAGAAAATCACTTTAAAGGAACCATCAAAATGACAAAATAATATGTAACGTCGTAGAAACAATGTTATAAACTGCATGTGGAAACAGAAAAGAAATCGCAAACTTAAGAACACAAAAAATGCTGAGAAATCACCTCCAGAACAAAAAACGGTCAAATTGACTGCTGAGAGAGTTCTAGTGTTAGAGAGAATTCCAGCCAACATATACAACAGTTATAGTTGTCACAGAATTCTGAAAGTCCGAGTGTGAACCAATTAGAAGAGCATTTATGAGCTGGAGGACTCTCATGATGTAAATGGCAGTGGCAATGTTAGGTATAGAGATAAAAGACAGTGTGATTGATGTGAGCGGGGATAACAGAGCATAGGTGCAGCTGCTGATAATGGACTCAATAGCAAAGCGCTTTATGACGCACATAAAACCCTCAAGGACCGCAGCCCAAGAAGTCCTTGTCAATCACGCTCAAGACCACAGCCGTGTACAAGGTTGTCCTGCTTTCTCCTCTCCCTTCAGACCCAAAGTAAAGATTCCATGCGTCATTCCGAGGGCCCTGCAATGACTATAGAGAATGGTGAGAAGTTCGATTGATCATTCACCCACTTCAACGTGAGTCAGAGAGGGTTAAGATGCTATTCCTCTGAAGAAAATGCGTGTTTTTTGTTCTGAGGACGATTAAAAGTTGCCCTTGAGTCTCTCAATCTGTCAGTTTCAAACACAAGAAATGATTAAAACACATTGGTCCATAAGAGGCAAAGGCAAATGTCTATAAATGTTGATGAACGTGGTGTGTCCTGGATCATCACCACTGTCCTTAGACCAGAGGTGTCCAAACCGGTCCAGAAAGGGCCACTGTGGCTGCAGGTTTTCTATCAGACCCAGCAGGAGCAGAGTAGACTCCACCCATTTCATCAAATCTTGGACTGGGCAAATGGGCGGAGTCTGCACTGCTCTTACTGGGTCTGATAGAAAACCTGCAGCCACAGAGGCCCTTTCTGGACTGGTTTGGACACCTCTGCGAGACCACCCTCCATTGGCAAAAAGCAAAGAAAAATATGGGAAACCTCGGGGCGGCCCACATAGAGGGAGGGATCCGCGCCCACTGGCCTGTCCTGCATAATTAGTCCAACATTAAAGTAGAACTCACACATGTATTTACAATTTGGTGTATTTTTCCTTCACAACAACAGAAGCGAGAGGCCCAACACCTCTGACCTCAACAATGGGAAGAACATGCAAACTACAGACGGAAAGACCGAGAGAACAGGTGTTCGCAGTTTCAAAAGTAGTCATCCGGACAATGTTTTCAGTGTATAAAGGGTTCAATTCCCACCTAGGATGGGAGTGGACTTGGTCTGGACCCTAACATTTTGATAAAAAATAATAAGAAGAATAAAAAGAATAAGAGAGAAGGGGACCCTTCAAGTTTTCTTGAAGGGTCCAATGGCTCTAAAAGAAAAAAGAAAATTAAACACAATAACCCAATCACAAAGACACGAGGACACATAGATACAAGATACAAGGGTTTTGTTCCATTTTGTGACAAATATGATCCAAACGGAAATGCAATACTGACTCCTGTGTTCAAATCCCGGTCGGAAGGGGGTCTTTCTGAGTGGAGTTTTCTTGTTCTCCCCGCACTTGCATAGGTTTCCTCCGGGTACTTTGGTTTCCCCTACCACTAAAAACCTGCTCACAAGGTTAAATCCTCCAGCTCTGGTCCTGACGAAGCCGAGCATCAACATCTGGAGATAGGTTCCCGGGCGCTGTTACTACGGCGACCACTGCTCCTGACGTAAGCCTTAGCGGTCAAATGCAGACAAGGAATTGCCCTACGGGGATTAACAAAAAGTGCACCCTTTCTCTTCATCTTAATAATTTAATGTTGACTGTTTTTTGTCTGCACCTATAGACGTCGGAACTAGGGGTGCGGCCGCACCCCCTCCGCGTGTGCCGGGAGCGAGAAGTTATCACTATCCTGCGTTCCTTGCAGCCCAAAACCCGCTCCATGCTGTCGGAGGTGCTTATGAAGCTCTGTCTGGCTAATATCTGTCGCAGCCTCTGAGCGCTCTTTCTCAGCCTTGCGCAGATTAGAGACCTGGCTACACCAGTGACGTGCGGTGGGGGATCAATCATGTGTTCATATGATTATACATCATATAAACCAACAGGACCTACAGAGCGGCTTATACACAATTTGTTTGGCTACAGCAGAATATGATTTAGTGTCTGCATAGTTTGCTCATATAAAACGCAAACGTTTGTAAAAAGTACAAAGTGTGTTATGGGCCTTACCTTAGTTATTAATGAATAGCACAGACCACTTCAGTTCAGACCAGTTTCATGTTTAAGTCCAGGTAATAGTTTGAGCACAGACTATTCCATTTGGAAATAAGTTCAATGAGTTTTAAAAAGTAAAACAAACGGGTGTCTCCTCCGTAAACTCCTCAAGTTTTCCTGCAGCCGACTCCCGGGTAAATCCAATTTCTAAATTCAACCTTACCCTTCACCTCCTTTTCTTATGATTCATATCATCATTGGAAGCAAAACATTACTCTAAGTGCATTTTAAATTATCTTAAAATGTATTATAGGTATGTTAGCCAAACCTGTAGCTGCCCTTAGCAGAAGAAGAACAAGAAAGGAGCTTTCTGATGGAATTGGATGCAGCCAAAGTTTGGGCACACAAGCGCCCCCTTGGGGCTTTCCTCACTTACAAGCTGTGGTTGAGCGCGATTAAGACCCATATTTGCTTCAAAAACACAGTTTATGAGCTATCCTCTTAAATGTAAACATGTTGATTGTAAATTAAATATTTTTGAACTTTTTAAACTGTGATAAAAAGAGAAAACAGTTTGATAGCACCTCACAGGACTCTCCCTGTGAGCTGTTGCTTTTACGTCTCCCAAGAGAGGCTTGCCTCACAGCGCCGCTCTGTCAAATCTGCAATTTCAAGGTATACATAAATGAAATAAGGCAAAGTTACATTGAAATAATGCACAACACAAATCACTTGATAAAGTGACCAAACATTATTGTATCTATTTTATTACTTTTCTTTCTATGATCTTAGGTGAGGGCCTTACCTGCCTCATCTGACCGCACGTCACTGGGCTACACAACACAATGAAGCCACCGGAGAGACTGACGCATGAATGTGTATTGAAAAAAACAATGTTCAGTTTGATAAGTGACTTGCTTGATATATATTGTTTATTTTTTGTTTTCTTAACAATTAAGATGGCATGTTATTATCCAGTGTAATCCAAGAATGAGTCTCTCCCTCGACTCTCCCAACAAAAACCCGTCCCCCCTCTCAGAAAATAGTTCCGACGTCCATGTCTGCACCGTTGTGTTTCATTTGTCATTAGACTTACCGTTGGACAAGACAGATGCACGGAATCTCAACAAAAAACACACCGATTAAGTCAAATCCTCCAACTCGAGCAATCCTGACCGAAGGACTCAACATCTCGTGTTGAAAACCAATGTTGCGATACTTTTTTTCAATTTTTGTTTCCGCCACCGATTCATACTGTAGTTCACCTTGGAGAGACCCACAAGGAAAATGCCGTTAGACTTATTAGATTTAAGCATGTTTATTGATTGAGCATGTTTGGCGCCCTAGGCCCGGGAGGGATGCTGTTGAGCACGGCGCTTGCTCGCGTGCATAATTCCCCCCGGGGCCTAGGCACTGGTGGCGGCAGAGGCAGAGGCATGTTCAGCCAGACGCTGCAACAGGGGAATCTTTGAGCGTTTGAGGAAAGTGCGTGCCGCCACCAGAATCTTATTGCTTACTTGCTTTGCAGGGAGCTTACGAGGAAGCCGGTAGACGTTGTGCTGCCATGATAGCGGTCGCATCTGGCCTGATGTAGGTGGAGAAAGCCGAAGAGGACCAGCGCCCCAGCTGTTGCAGAGAAGAGTGGGGAAGCCCCAGCGAGGTCGCGCGCGTGGCAGCGCCTATCCTGAAGGAGTGGG